CCAATTCCAGCACTGGTTACACACCTATACAGTATACACTGTAATGCAGGGTTGCCAACTTTGGGTACCTGGCTGGAGTGAAATTTTGATATCATGGGTTTAATTACACATATGCGCACTAAATGACTGCTATCGTGTCAGTAGCGGGACCTTAGCATACATATAGGATATACACAATATTGGACACAGACTATAAAGAGCACACAGTTTCATTCACTAATGAAAGTCAAACACATGTTTGTTTCCACTGTTTTATTGGGTACCTGTCGCGATAAGCAATTAATTGACTTATCGGCTCCGGAGTATTTTTGTTGGGTAATGGTAGGGCTAACCCATACAGTGGTGGGGCTCAAGTCAGTATTTGCATTGTAATTACATACACGCTCCCCTTGACAGTGAAACGCCACGCGTGAGGTTTAGATTATTTCCCTGTCTCAATCCAAATTGAACTGTATGAAACAAAAAGGCACATTTGTCTTGTAGTAAATAAAAAGAGTGACCTGGAGCCAATTCCTGCAACTTCCCCAATCCCCACAGGTGAAAGAGTAGACATGCTGAAAACCCAACCCCTGCACACATTCTGGTACTCTCTTGAGAAGAAAAATAAATAAATCTATTACTACACATTTAAAAAATGAATGCCATTTTAGTTTTGTGTTACTTTGTTCTGAAAGCTGAACCTGCTGCTCCTCAGAGAGAGAAGAGGGAGAGGCTGTGAATTACTTTACATTGTGGATAGCCCCCATTGTTCTGTGTGTCAAAATGAAAGACAGCCCACACACCTCATCAAACCGTGGGGTCTTATTTCACGTAATGTTGTATCGATGTATATAGAGATGTACTACAGCAAAAGTATTCTCCGTCGGGACTTCCTGCAACAACACCTCGCCGTTATCTTGATTCTGATTGGCCAGAAGACATTATCAAAGATGTTCTATTGAGAAGACGATCACTACGTGACAACAGTTTTCAAAACCGTTTCTTGTCTTCGGTATTCTTGTGTTGGCGTGAGAATAGTTTGGGCAGCGTGAGAGCGTGAGATTGAGAGTGAAAGCGTGTGTCACACGCCAGATGCGTGAGAGTTGGCAACCCTGCTGTAGTGACTGTACAGTGAGAGTGTACTGTACTGTCTGTACACCATGTATTTTCTACAACACTACATGTGTACATTATACAGTACATACTACATACATAGTGATGCACATACATACTGTTAGAAATTAAAATCAATGTTGATATGGCGTAATTTGAATTAAATACACTATTTAATTTAAATTAGTTTTATTCTGAAAAAACGGAAGTTCACACTAATTTAATACTTTTATTCTGAAAATGATTCACTTCCGGTTAGCATCAGCATGTGTCGAAATGCTACGTTTTCAAACCGTGAATCGAAGGTGAAATGACATGTGATGTTGTACACTGAGCACACTGGGATTAACACTCATTTATTGACGCTGAATAACGTTTATCAGGGAATGTTTAAATAACCACAGACACCAACCTGGGCTGACGGGAGATGAGGAGAGCGCATCCTTTTGCAATTTAATTTGTACACCACCGCATCTTTTGTGTAATTAAATACCGTTAACTTTTATAAGCTTCCCTTGACTCTTTTCAGTCTCTCCTGCCTTCAGGGAGGTTTTAGATGGTTTATAACAAAAAGGAGAATATACGTAAGTGCTAGTTTTTTTTGCGAGTCCAAGTACCGGTTCCCGACGTTCCGGTTTTAACCGGACTTGAACCGAAACTTTTTACAAGTCCAGTACCGGTTCGGCGTACCGGTACGAAGCACTGCAGCATAATAGACCGTTCGTGATGGACTTTTGAAGGTAAGAATACGTTTAAAGATGTATATTGCGGATATCAGAACATCTGAATCAAATTAACTACACATGTGTATTACAGGATGTTAGTGCATTATCCCTTCAATCAGTATATTTAACGTTTACAGATAACAGATTACGCTAGAATGCCGGATAAAGTTAGCAACACACGTTAGCCACGAACAGCCTATTAATCCGTTCTCCTAATGTTATTTCCTCCAACGTTGTGGAATTAGAGAAAAGGGGCTTCTTAACGTGCTTTTATCCGGGGTGGAGGGAGTTACATATTAGTTAAATATAAAATTGGGGCGTGTGATTGTAGTGGGTGGAGGTGGTGAAATGAGGATATCCATCTTGGAGTTCAAGCTAGTATAATATAGTTAACGTTACACAATAATAAGGAAGAGAGCTATTTTTGTGATACATCGCTATTGATATGGATTTAGAGTGGATATGACTTCTAAACAGTAAACTAAAACATAATTTATGGGTGAGTGTTTTTAGCAATCATATTAAGTCTGTGATTCTGTTGATTATTACCTGTCTGTATTATGTTGCAGCTCAGCTGATTTTGGATTGATGGCAAAGGGAGAGGGACTTAAGTGAGAGTGAAAACACATGGTACGTTTAAAATAGGTCAGCAATTTCCCATCCTATAGGTTGCTAGATGTAACTAACCCTTTCTCCTGTCTCCCTCTTTCAGCACAAGAACCCCACAGGGATTCAATGGAGCCTGAAGACCTGCAATGAGACCCTGCACCTGAGTCTCAACTCCCAGAGCTTTGCAAGCCTCTCCCTGTTCCTTATTTTTATTAAACAGACGTTAAGCTTCCCAATGGTGTGGTCTTCGTTTTGTGAAAATATGATTACCTCACATATGCTGTTGCTGTCTTTTGTGATAGTTAAATTGCTCCTGCTGACTTGAGCCAGACATTCTTTCCTCCTCTCTGTGTCAGTGGGGAAACCTTACATTTGTACTCCTTTCTCTGAGCGATTGGAGCATCCCCAGGCAGCACAGCAAACCATGGGGGAGACTATATGCCAGGACAACACGGAGGAAAAGGCACAGACAAACTGCATGCATGCTATTCAATGTTTATTGAATTCCATGTATTTACTGTCAGTTGACAATCATTGATAGGCACCTGTCGGTCTCCTGTCCTTTCTGAAAGTCATAAAGAAGACATTACTTATTTAGATTACTTATGTCCTCAATTACCAGGGCCCAAGAGTTCAAAACTTTTAATCCCTATCTGATCAAATCAGATTTGGATTTTGGGGAGTTCAAAACCAAAAAACAGGATTAGGATCACTTTGATATCCGATCAGATCAGGAAATCCAATCCAAGCTTTAATCTGGATCACATCTTCAAAACGGGTAGTTCAAACCGACAACACAGGTTTGGGATCAATTTGATCCCAAAAAACTGGATTATCCTGATCCCACCAGAGGGGTGGATTTCCAGTGGATTACCAGAGCAACATTTACTGTACAATTTATTTTAAAATATGTTTCAATTTAAATTAGATGGCAAAGTTTGTTAACGGAAATAATACACTATTTTTAGCCTTCATGGGAAATACATTTTATTTTCCATTTTTTGCTCACGTTTGTGGTGGCCTATTTTGTTTTAAACCAAATGTTGATGACATAAATGTATATGCTCATAAAAGTATCACAACAAAGATTGTCAATCACAAATGTAATTTAGATTAAATAAAAAATATCTTCAACAAAAAAAGTCCATCATCTGTCATCACCTTTCAAAAGTAATTGCGGACAATAGATGTCTCTGCAATGTGGTCTCTTGTCTTCCTTGTATTATTTTTCATGTCCACTAGATGGCGATTGGTAGGATTAAAGCACTGATATTCAGGATCTAGTCATCTTGAAAAGTCGTAATCTGGATCAGGCTGATCCTATCCTGAATTGCTTTGAACTCCAGGGACAAAATGTGTCCGATTTGTCTGATCCAGGATCACAAAAAATGGGATTTCAAAATCTGATCGGATCTGATTGAGATTAAAAGTGTTGAACTCCTGGGCCCAGGGGATTACTGAAACCACCATGAATTAAATAAATTGTAGAAATGAATCTAATCTGAATTTTGAAACCTTCCTTCCCTCCCTCTAAATATATCAAACATTAGGAAGTGATGCTCCTGACTACCATTCAAGTTTAAGAAGATAATATTTGTTTTAAACAATTCAAAGCAATAAACAACAGCAACAGGCTCTTTAACCAAGGCAACGTTAGCCTAACATGTATATGTTAACAGGTAAAATAGCTGTTCACAGTCACACTATGTATATTTTCTGCTATTTTATTTCTATTTGAGATGTTTACATTTTCGATTGTTTAATTCTAGTCTTTTAACTGTTTTATGTACAATGCCTTGTCTTTTGCTGCTGCAAAGCAAACATTTCCCAAATTGGTATCAATAAAGTACTTCTTATGTTATCTTAATCCTCAAATATTAGCAAATTTAACTTTTTCAAATACTGATGTAACTACATACACATCGATATGTTGTATACATATTGCAAATCCAAACCTTTATTCACTACTTAAGTTATTACCAAAAATCGTAGTTCTATCTCCTGTTATCAATGCATTCACATTGCCCGCCATGAACTTCCGGGGAACGATCCTCGTCTACATGAACCACGTGACGATAACCGTTTTTGGACTTCCGTTATCGTAACTCTTCTCTCTATATGGCGCTGATCCGGACTAAAACCAAAAAACCATCCCACAGGCAATAAGACTATTAAACACCGGAATTTAACAACATCATAACATTAATCTGGCTGCTATTTAGAAGTGTATCTAATATATCACTATTTCTACTATTTTTCTTTTTGTATTTACTATTTACTTGCACTATGTTGTTCTGATTGTCTGTTTTATTGTGTTTCACTGTTGGAGGACCCTGTGACCTAAGATTTTCATCGTCATAACTACACTGTAGCTATGTACGTATGACCAATAAAAGCACAAGGCAGAGATAATTCACTCAGTAAATCACTGTGGTCTTTTCAGGGGAATCTTATTACCAAAAAAAAAATGCATACAGATAATTGCTTTGTTAGGTATGATGACAGTTCAGTATAGAATATAATAGCATTTCTTGAAAATAGTTCACATTTAAAACCAAAACAACTCAATTTGACTCGACTGACACCATTTGTCTTTCTGCAAACATACTGCAGCCCAACAAATACATTTATTTCAAACAGTAACACCATTTGAGCCAGAACTCAAGAACATTATGTAACGAACACACATCAACATTTCACAAGTAGTGTTTTTAAAAGAGAGACAATTTCAGTCAGGTCAATACTAGTAAATGAAGCATGATGTGATATAAAGCAAGGGTGAGTCAGTGAAGCAAATGGGGAGTTGTATTACTTCTACATTATTGTGAAGAGGTAGTTTTGAAGGTTTATGCTACATGTGTGCAAACAATGGAGCAATTGTCCAAAGTATGAATTTGGCATTATTTGACCCAGGCCTTGTGTGGCATGAACTGAGGTATGTATAATGTCACTCTAACCAACATGCAGAGTAAAAAATGGAAGCATTTTCTCTCATTGCTTGGATAAGAACCTCACATTAAATGTAAGTAGCAAATATGTTTTATCTGACACGGATCAAACATGATGCGAAATAGGCTTTTAAAAAAGGGACAGTTGACCCCAAATCACAATGTAGTCGTTTCCTGTAGTGCTATAATACAATCTAACTGTTTTGGTGTGAGTAGGTATAAGGGAGGAACGGGGAGGGGGGGGGGGGGGGTTGTTGTAGTTAAGTACTCGAAAAATCGCACAAAAACAAGTAATAAGAAAAATATTATTTCTTATTTTAGGGTGTACATTCAAAACCTTGTTAAAGGAATAACATATTTAACAATAACTGCACACTAACGACAGTCTTCTGTTGTTTGGATTCTGCAGCAATTCTCTTAGCAATAAATCTAAAAATACATCAAACAAACTACTATTTTCTCAGCAGCATAATTTCCCATACAGGCTATTAAATAGGCCTTTATTTGATATAGATAGGAGTTTTTTTTAATATTAATCTTTCATCTACATTTGAGTTTAATTTCAAGTTGAAACGTTAAGCCACTGAGCGTGACAGAGAGCGCTTTAGCAGAAGTGATTTGATCGGTTAATTGAAACACTGGTGGTGATTTAAACCATACTTGTATGCATAACATTTCCCACAGTCCACACAGCTGTAAGGTTTTTCGCCGGTGTGTGTTCGAATATGTATGTTCAGAGAGCTTTTCTGGGAAAAACTTTTGCCACAGTCTGGACAGCTGTACGGCTTCTCCCCAGAGTGCACGCGTTGGTGCAGTTTCAGGTACGTTTTCTGAGCAAACCGCTTCCCGCAAACGGAGCAGCTGAACGGCTTCTCACCTGAGTGTCGCCGGATGTGGACTTTCAAACTGCTCAAATAGTTGAAGATCTTCCCACAGAATAAGCACTCAAACTGTTTGGTTGGCCTCCCAGGTTTGGGCGGAAGTTCTTTGGTGGCATTCATGAGGATATTGTTTGAAAAGTCTGAGTACTCTGCGGTGGCTGAGGAAGAACTTGTGTTGTCAACCATTATGCTCATTGTTGCATCATCTATCAACTTGTCCATAATGGTTGGCTGTGGGCGTTGTTGTGTTTGAATGTCAGCTGTCATGGGGTAGCTGCTTAATTCCCCTGAGTTAAGCTGCAGCTCATCAACAGATCTATGAAGAATGCTGTCCTCGTCAAAAAATCCACCAACTGTCAAATGGGAACAAATGTAGTAAAATCACAGAAACTTGGTATTATAATCTTTGGATTTTTTTTATTTATGTACCTACCTTTTCTATTATCTGTGAGCCTCATCTGCTGGCCAATGGGATGATCATCATACGTCTCCTCTTTGACGAAGATCAGATCAGGTTCCCTCTCCATTAAGTCTATTACCTGTCAACAAGACATAAAAAGCAGCTTTAAATACAGTCATTCAGTCAACAAACAAATAAAGCTAGTTGTTGGTATAAACACTGACCAGGGGCCCCATGCTTGTCATAGCAGCAGGCTCCACTGTTGCTTTTCTTTGACTTGGGGCTTTTTCTTCTCTCCACAGATCCATGCACCAGTCTTTTCCATAAACTCCATCAATGGCTGGAGCAAGATGCTGCTGGTCTGGAAGAAGAAGCAGGTGTGAAATTCTAACATCCTACAGATGGTAAACAAACTTAGAACAGCATTAGTGATTCGTTTTAGACCGGATGTGCTGAGCTGGACATAACTAAGTGGAGGTAGTCGATACTGAAGCTAACGGGCAAACAAGCCATATAGAAATATGAATATTTAATGAAGCAGAGGCAGCTATAAACCAGAGTAACTGTCCAGATTTTGGACCCTCCTGACCTGCAGGCTGTCTGCGGCTGACACTGTTGACATGGGAAGAAAAGGTCTGTGCCTCCCTGGCTGCTCTCAGTTGGACCTCCAGCAAGTAGCACCTCTTCTTCAGAGCCTCGTTCTCCGTTTTGTGCAGGGATATCTCGGAGTGAAGGACAGAGGAGCATTCATCAGCCAGGTTCCCTATTTCCACCAGAGCCGTCTTCGTTAGTTTGTCCAGGACAGCGGCTAACTGCGCCCGAAAACTCCGGTTCGTGGTGTCGCACATCATGTCGATAGGGAGAGGGAATATTTCTAACTGTTTGCAATATTCCTAGCGGAGACGCGTTTACTCTTCCATAATGATATAGCTGTGCCGCGATGCATTGTGGGAAAATGGTATTCTTGCATTACAAAATGTACGAGCAGCACCTGAACGCAGCACGGTCTGAAAAAAAACGTTATTTCACCGAGGTAGAGACTAACGTTTTATAGTTCAGTGGGAATGACAGAGATAATAAAGTAATGTTACTACTGCCACTAATTCCGATTTAAAGAATGAATACTAAATAGATTAGAGTCAGAACCTTTGTTGAAACATGTTGAATGTTCACTGCCCTCCAGCGGCCACAGGGAGAAACTGCAGAACTACATCACAATAGTGGCTCAACATGTAATCATTGTCAGTGTGGTGATAATAAATAATACAGTAATACCAATAATGTATTTTTACAGTTAGTTTTTTGGTCAAAAAGCACATTATTTTTATTATTATCATCATCATCCAAATTACACAAGCGCCAATGCAGACAAGGTAGCCTACTTGTATACAAATATATTTATATAAAAAAGTATCATAGTTATCAACCATAAGATTTCACATGTAACAACATGGTCTCAGTTATCAGTTGTCAAAGTCAGTTCACATAACCTGCTGTATTACAGTAGTAGCACACTATCAAGTTTGCACAGTTTGGAAGGGGAACTTTGATATATTAATGGTATAGGCAGCAGAAACATTGTACCTTTGTATTGTTAAAGCAGGTGATACACACTCAAATCTGGAAACAGCAGCTTTTTTACATTTGACAGGCTGTTTTAGGAAGCTGAATTTATGAATGTCCCATATGTTGGTACCGTACACCAGATTCACTACCATACATATTCAAACTAGGGTCTAGATGTACTGTAAGGTGTTTTTTCAGATTATAGTTCTTTGTAAAGCCCTTGCCACATTGCATACAAACAAAAGGTTTTTCTCCAGTGTGTGTACGCTGATGCATATCAAGAGTGCATTTCTGAATAAAGCCTTTTCCGCAAATAGGACAGCGGTAGGGCTTCTCCCCAGTGTGTGTGCGCTGGTGTGTGTACAGATGCCCTTTTTGTGCGTATCTCTTTCCACACAGCGTGCACCTGAACGGTTTTTCACCTGTGTGACTTCTCTGGTGTATTTCTAGCTGGCTAAAGCATCTGAAGTTCTTTCCGCACTGCAAGCATCCAAACCTCTTAGCAGCTGAGTTCCTCAAGTGTTGAAGCTTCATATTTCTGAGCACACTTAAGCTTTGAGTGGCAACATTTTGGGCTAGGCTTTTCCCAGCAACTAGGTTTGTGTTTGCAGGTGTAAGCTGTGGATTCCACTGTGTTTCCCTCCTCCCTGGTACAGCGAGAGACGGCTGACTGCTCATAGTCTCAAAGCTGTCAGTAAACAGGGGCTGCAGACGATCTGCCATGGGTTTGGTACGCTGCATCACTTCTGAGCCCCTGTGGGTGTCTTGGAATTCTTCCCTTCCTGTTGACAACATACACAATATCAGTTTTTGTACAGCATAAATATCGCTGTGCAACAACATATTTATTTAATACTCACTATTTTCATTTGTCCCATCAGGTCCACAGTCCACCTCTGATGGCTCTTCTTTTACCACTATCAGTTCTGGCTGATCTCTCAGTTGGTTTGGGAGCTAATGAAAAAACAAAATGAGTGCACGACTGTTACACACAAGGACATCATACATTACATTGACACAATATGATTAGTGTACAACTTACTTCCGCTATGGCATACTCCTCCTCTTGAAGGTGATGCCAACTGCTTATCTCTGTGGAAGAACTTTCCCATGGACTTTCACTGGGAGGCAATACACTTATATTAGAATCACCAGGCAGGGTATAGCTGTTTTACAAGAGTTATGATGAAGATGTAATTATTGTTTCAGCATAACACAAACTCACTAACGTCTCACAGGCTACAGTAGTCAACAAGTCTACCTTTTAATGGCAGGTCTTGTCCTGTCAGGCTCCACAATGCCTTCCTCTGAACCGTCCCTCACCACTGCGCATACTGCTGCGTCCTGTCTGCTGCCCTGCGCGATATAAAGCAATTTCTCCATCAGCTGCAGTTTCTCTGCGAGCGAGGAGATTTCGTTCCGCCCTCGAGTTATCTCAATTTTCAGCATCTTCGATTCGATCTCGACCAGTTTGCTTATTTCCATTACAGTTGTTTTGGATAACGCGTCCATGATGGAGACGAGCTGTGTCTGGAAAGAGAAGACTGTCGACATGGTTAAAGTCTTTGGTTTGACTGCAAGTCGCACGCGAACGAGTTGTTGCAGTAGACCAGAGATCTTTAAATGTTCAATGTGAAATTTGGTCGCAACGTAAAACACGAGAAGAGCTGTTGTGCATGCCAGCAAAATACACGTGAAGAATCTCTTCAAAACTCAAGTAGTTGAAACGAGGCATCATTTCCATCTACCGGCTGGGAGGAAGCATAGCCCCGGTACACAGAACTACAATATCGAGCTGTATTGACTGAGCGTCTTTATTGACTTCAGTATCTTTCAAATGTGTGTGAAACTCTCCCAAAATCTACTGAGGTATTTTGTGAATTGCCTCTTTTTTAACCTATTTATTTTTATTGACTTGTATGTTGTTACTACACTGACCAGAATGCAGTTCGGTCTAAACACAGATAGGCCATTGGCTGTTTTCTTTATTTGTTCATGATTGGCTGGTGAGTGAAGTTTCCGGAAGTAGTGCGTTGAATTACATTTGCCGACTAAAACTCCTCCACACATTCTGCTGCTGGGATTACCAGTAAGTAACGACAGATATATTTTCGAACATGTATTGTAACTGCTTACAATTCTGGTTTATTCAAGAAATAAGTTAGGCTTTTCAAACATATTTTCGATACTGGCTACCGCACTACCGTGCAGAATCAGCTGGGGTTTGTAGCTTTTAGCGCCAGTATTTGCATAAATACTCAAAGGCTACTTATATTGCAGTTTCAATATAAACTTTAGTCAAGATAAACTTCAGTCAAAATATGTTTCATCTTAGATAAACAAACACTCTGTATGTGGATAATCTTTACAGGCACATCATGATGACTTGCAGAAGTTGTTGACTTCCTTACACATTGCTCAAAGCCTGTTATTACCCCTCTCTTTCTCTTTCTGTGCTAACAAGTCAATCCTTTTTTCAGAAAGCTATCTCATGGCTGGCAGAAGAGTTGTGGTCTTCCCCTCCTCAGCGGAGCTTGGTCCAGTGCTGGCCCAACTGGTGACATCTCGGGCTGAGAAGGCCATCGCCTCTCATGGCAGGTTCACTTTGGGCCTCTCTGGAGGAAGCCTTGTGTCCATGCTTGGCAAAGAGCTGCCCGCCCTGCCAGACTTGGACTGCAGCAAGTGGGTGGTGGGCTTCTGTGACGAGCGGCTGGTTCCCTTCAATGATCCTGAGAGCACCTATGGGCTATACAAGGTATTTTTTCCGGTGTGTGCTTGTTTGTCCTGGCTACATTAATGTATGATATGTAATTACATTGTGGTCAAATGTAACCCTTTGTTTTTTCCTATAGGGTCAGTTGTTTTCCAAGGTCAACATCCCTGACAGTGGGATCTTAACCATTGACTCCTCCTTGCCAGTCAACGAGTGTGCTGAGGATTATACCCGCAAACTGAAAGAGGTGCAGACATTTTTACAGATCTGTGGTCTACTTTGGCTCTAAAGTCACAGACCAATATGTTTTCAAAAATGTTTACTGAATTGTTTTGTTGCTTCCAAACAAACAGGTCTTCCCCGATGATAAATTCCCAGTGTTTGACCTGTTACTGCTAGGTATGGGGCCTGACGGACACACCTGTTCCCTCTTCCCAGACCACCCTCTCCTGGAGGTGAGGGCCGTACTCAAGAGAAACAAACATACAGAAAGAATCTGTAATGTCCATCATAGTCTTGTCATGGGGGCATAAATACATCCCTACCCTGGCCACTTTTTTAATGTTTTATTTAAAAGCTTCTCATATTTTGGACCATCATTATGAACCTAAAACTAAATTGCACATCTGGATGATAAACCTTGTTGGACAGTGACACTCTATTTCAGGATGGTCTATAACTTTGGCTTAATTACACGTTTATGTGCATGCAAATGTTTCTGTAATATAGGCTTATACAAATGTTTCATCATTGATGTGGTCCCTGATGTGCTGATCGAAAAGAACCATGTGTGTTCTGCCTTTACATTTCAAGACACTCCCCTGACACTGTATAGATAATTGATAGGTTTTAATTAAGGCACAACTTGAACTATGTAGTCTGCACGGCCGTTCCTTTTAACATGTCTTTGAGGCACTCTGACTCATTACACATCATATATTTGAAAGTCCTAGTACATTCTTTGGTTGTGGTTCACACACTGACTCTTTTGGCGACTGTGTACTTTACAGAAGATGAATGATTGGGTTTTGGTGTACTCCATATTTAGGAAACCAAGAAGATTGTGGCCTCCATCAGCGACTCTCCCAAACTACCGCCACAGCGTGTAACTATGACCTTTCCTGTGGTGAACTCTGCACGCTGTGTGGCTTTTGTGTCAACAGGAGGAAGCAAAGCACCCGTTCTGAAGGTATTGTTTGCAGCCTTTCTCTAAACACATATCATGTTCATAATCTTAAAACCCTATGTTTCCACGGCATAATAAATTATTACTAGGCCATATTTAGTTACAAACCCAGTCATTATGGGGTGGGAAAAAAACAATTGAATTGTTGCAGAAACAAAAAACATGCACAAAATGATTGAAATTACTTTCATGTAGGTGTATGTACATGACTCAGCAGTTACAGTTGCCAGAGGTTACAGGATCGTTAGTTTGACCACAAATATATGCCTCTATTCTGTTACAATAATGATTGGGTCAAGAGTGGTATTACCATCCATCCATCCATCCATCTTCTCCCGCTTATCCGTGGTCGGGTCGCGGGGGTAGCAGTTCCAGCAGAGAGCCCCAAACTTTCTTTTCCCTGGCGACATCAACCAGCTCTGACTGGGGGATCCCAAGGCGCTCCCAGGCCAGCGAAGAGATATAATCCCTCCACCTGGTCCTAGGTCTACCCCTTGGTCTCTTCCCAGCTGGACGTGCCTGGAACACCTCCCTAGGGAGGCGCCCAGGTGGCATCCTAACTAGGTGCCCGAACCACCTCAACTGGCTCCTTTCGACGCGAAGGAGGAGCGGCTCAACTCCGAGTCCCTCCCTGATGACCGAACTTCTCACCTTATCCCTAAGGGAGACACCAGCCACCCTGCGGAGAAAACCCATCTCGGCCGCTTGTATCCGCGATCTCGTTCTTTCGGTCATGACCCATCCTTCATGACCGTAGGTGAGGGTAGGAACGAAAATGGCCCGGAAGACTGAGAGCTTTGCCTTCTGGCTCAGCTCCCTTTTCGTCACAACGGTGCGGTAAAGCGACTGCAGTACCGCTCCCGCTGCTCCGATTCTCCGGCCCATCTCACGCTCCATTGTTCCCTCACTCGAGAACAAGACCCCGAGATACTTGAACTCCTTCACTTGGGGTAAGGACTCATTCCCTACCTGGAGTGGACAGTCCATCGGTTTCCTGCTGAGAACCATGGCCTCAGATTTGGAGGTGCTGATCCTCATCCCAGCCGCTTCACACTCGGTTGCGAACCGATCCAGTGAGTGCTGAAGGTCGCAGACCGATGAAGCCATTAGAACCACATCATCTGCAAAAAGCAGTGGTGCAATCCTTAGTCCACCGAACTGCAGACCCCCTCCCCCATGACTACGCCTCGAAATCCGATCCATGTATATTACAAACAGGATTGGTGACAAAGCGCAGCCCTGGCGGAGGCCAACCCTCACCGGAAATGGGTCCGACTTACTGCCGAGGACCCGGACACAGCTCTCGCTTTGGGAGTACAGAGATTGGATGGCCCTGAGTAGAGACCCCCTCACCCCATACTCCCGCAGCACCTCCCACAGTAACTCCCTGGGAACTCGGTCATACGCCTTCTCCAAGTCTACAAAACACATGTAGACCGGATAAGCGTACTCCCAGGCCCCCTCCAGGATCCTTGCGAGAGTAAAAAGCTGATCCGTCGTTCCACGACCAGGACGGAATCCGCATTGTTCCTCCTCAATCTGAGGTTCGACAATCGGCCTGACCCTCCTTTCGAGTACCTTAGAGTAAACTTTCCCGGGGAGGCTGAGTAGTGTGATGCCTCTGTAATTGGCACACACCCTCTGATCCCCCTTTTTAAATAGGGGAACCACCACCCCGGTCTGCCACTCCTTCGGTACCGTTTCCGACTTCCACGCAACGTTGATGAGACGTGTCAACCATGACAGTCCCTCAACACCCAGAGCCTTCAGCATTTCCGGGCGGATCTCATCCACCCCCGGGGCTTTGCCACTGTGGAGTTGTTTGACGACCTCAGTGACCTCCCCCCGGGAGATTGGTGTTGATCCCCCGTCATACTCCAGCTCTGCCTCTAACATAGAGGGCGGAGTTGTCGGGTTCAGGAGTTCCTCAAAGTGTTCCTTCCAACGCCCTAACACTCCATCAGTTGAGGTCAACAACGTCCCATCCTTACTGTACACAGCTTGGATGGTTCCCTGCTTCCCCCTCCTGAGGTGTCGGACAGTTTTCCAGAACAACTTTGGTGCCGCCCGAAAGTCCTTCTCCATGTCTTCTCCGAACTTCTCCCACACCCGCTGCTTTGCCTCGGCCACGGATGAGGCTGCTGCCCTTCGGGCCTGTCGGTACCTTGCAACTGCCTCGGGAGTCCCCCGGGATAACAAATCCCTGAAGGCCTCCTTCTTCAGTCGGACGGCTTCCCTGACCACCGGTGTCCACCAGGAGGTTCGAGGGTTACCGCCCCTTGAGGCACCTAGGACCTTGAGACCACAGCTCCCCGCCGCGGCTTCGGCAATAGAGGCTTTGAACACCAACCACTCTGGTTCAATGTCCCCAACCTCCACAGGAATGCCCGAAAAGCTCCGCCGGAGGTGTGAGTTGAAGGCCTCCTGAACTTGGGCCTCCTCCAGACGTTCCCAGTTCACCCGAACTACACGTTTGGGCTTACCAGGTCTATCCAGAGGCTTCCCCCGCCACTCGACCCAACTCACCACCAGATGGTGATCAGTTGACAACTCCGCCCCTCTCTTTACCCGAGTGTCCAAAACATACGGCCTCAGGTCCGATGATACGATAACGAAATCGATCATGGACCTTCTGCCTAGGGTGCTCTGGTACCACGTACACTTATGAGCATCCTTATGTTCGAACATGGTGTTTGTTATGGCCAATCCATGACTAGCACAGAAGTCCAGTAACAAACCACCACTCCGGTTCAGATCAGGGGGGCCGTTCCTCCCAATCACGCCCCTCCAAGTGTCTCCATCATTGCCCACATGTGCGTTGAAGTCTCCCAGCAAGATTAAAGAGTCCCCTTCAG